TACAGACTTCACTACATATTGTTTCATACTTCGTGATTCCATGTTTTACAGCAATGAGTGCATATAAAATTTGGTGGTACGCATCAGGTGGATCACAAATACCATTTTTAGGAAATGTGATCTTAAGTGATACAGTAGCTTGTGTAATGGAGCTTTGTTCATGGCTATACAGAACAACAGTAATCTTCCTTGTTTGTGTTCTCTTCCGTTTAATTTGTCATCTTCAGATTCTTCGTCTTCACGATTTTGCTCAGCTTTTTCAGATTGATTCAGATGTTGGTTCTATCTTATCAGAACATCTTCGTATTAGACGTCATTTAAGAATCATTAGCCATAGATACAGATCTTTCATTCTATCTTTGTTGATTCTTGTTACTGGAAGTCAGTTTTCTTCTCTGCTTATTACTACTAAAGCTTATACCGAAGTCAATATCTACCGAGCCGGAGAACTAGCTGTAAGTATTCTACTTTATGTTTGTTTTTCGAATAAACCCATTTTCGAAAAAACTCAGTTTTTTGTTCTTGTGGTTTTGATCTCTCAGCTTTGTTCAATGACATTAGTCACTGCATTGCTTATACTATTGCGAAGTGCGTCTAAGATCACACATAAGGCTCAAGCTGTGACATGTTTAGCTGCGAAATGGCATGTTTGCGCGACATTAGAATCCTTTGAGATAGCAGATGGAGAGACTCCAACTTTGGTTGCTAGAAACAACAACAAAGGTCATGATGTAATTACGATAATAGAATCAGACAGTGAGGATTATGGTGACGAAGAAGATGATCTAGACAATCATAAAATCATTCCTGCTTATGCTTTTAGTACTATCTCATTCCAAAAACGACAAGCTCTAGGTAAAGAACTAAAATCCCTCCAGCTTCAATAAATCTTCTGCAATGCATTTGTCTTAATGGTCTCTACTTTTAATTATGGATTTTGTAGTGACTTATTTTGAGAATAACAGAGCAGGAATCACTGTTTATGGGTTTACACTTGATAGAGGTACACTTCATACGATTTTCGGACTCGAATTGTCTCTTGTTCTTTGGCTTCTTGGTAAAACCATTGGAATTTCTTGAATCTCTATTTGGTACTGATCCATTTTCCAGATTCTTCATCTTTTATTTCTTTTCTTTTTCAATGTAAATCGATTTATCTGTGCTTTTAACTACTTCAATGTGTTATGAATTGTTATAGAGTTCATGTTATTGTAAATTAGATGCGAAATAATAGTCTTTTTTTTTGTTCCCTTTCTATTCTTCACTCTTGTTTTGTTACATCTGCAAATGCTTGTACTTAAAACAAAAGAAACAAATTTATCTTAAGTCTGTATTATTAGATGATCTGGGAATCATATTACAGTGAATTATAACACGAAGTAGCTTAAAAAAAAAAAAGATCAGGCTAAACTACAAATCCAAAATTCAATAAATCACTAATTATGTTTGAACACTGAAACACACGAGCTTCATAGATTTAGTAAATCTAACTAGTCCCAAAGATTAGATCAAAAGAGATAATCACTTACTATATGCTTGAGGACCAAAGAGGGTTAAGTGAAATGCTACTCTCTGTAACTTTTGTCTGAACCATTTAACAGCTTTTGTCTTCCTCTGGAATTTCTGTAACATTCTTTTGTACAGCCTCTTGGTCTTGGACATCTGGTGTTGCGTTCTGAATTTGGGAAGGATCTGCGTTGTTGACGGTGTTGGATTGCGAAGGAGGAGGCATCTTCGAGCTTTCATCTTGACAATCTGCGGAAACAGATCTCTCGGTAACATCTTTGTTCGGATCTTCACTGTTCTCTACTTTTGGAGGATTAAGAGTCTCTGAGTGAGACACCGGTTGAGAAGGATCGGGACACTCGGCATCATTTCCTATAGGATCTTGTGATTCATTGTTAGTATCAACTGCTCGGTTCATAGCTGCTGCATCTTCAGCTTCGATTGTTTGACTTATAGCTGTTGCATCTTCAGCTTCAACCGTCTGATTTATAGCTGCTGCATCTTTAGCTTCAACTGTTTGACTCATAGCTGTGTCATCTTCAGTTCCTTTTGCAGTCTCGGAATGCGACACTGACTCTTGATTAGCAACCTTTAGATCCGCTTCACCAACTTTCTTCTCTGCGGATGCTTGAACTTCACCTGTACTAGAAGACATTTTCGCCGTAGTCGCACTTCTCATGACACGGCCATATTTAGGAGGAAAAGGCTTCCCATTGTATAATTGCACACATCTTGGACAATGCCATTCAGATTTCGGAACACTTTTCAAATTGTTAGCTTGTAGACATTTCAAGTGATATCCTTTCTCACAGGCATCACAGATTAGAACCGTCTCTACTTCGTTGATGCTTCCTTGACACATTTGGCATGTTATTGCTTTACTCATGTATTCCCTCGATGGCGGATTCCACAAGAGATTTTGTTTAGCCCGAGGTTGAAGAACCTTGTGGATTACCTTAGCGATTTCAGCATGGTTGTTGTTTCCAAAAGGTGAAGAAGTCTGACCGTAATTCACTCCTTTCATGCCTGTGAATGTACTTGGTGGAGTTTGCGACATGAATGGTCTAAAGCTCGGATCGGAGACTCTTGAAGAACTCTGAACATGAACTTTGCTCTCTGATGGAGTACCAAATGATATGGTGGAGGGACTGGAATGAGGTTGGCCAGACCAAGATGTAGCAGCATTCCCAAAATAACTTCCCGTAGGAACCGCTGGTTCAGAAAAGGTAATAATTTAGAGATCATAGATATTGTTCTAGAATCAACAAAAGAGAAAGATATGAAACTCAAACTCCAACTCCTCACGGAGATTTCAAATTCTCAACGAGCAAAAAAGAACCGAGACACAAAATCAGAGAAAGGATATGCATAGGCAAAAGTCAACGAGGTAAGCTTTCTACAAACAGCAGAACTTATAATAACACTCAGAAATTTAAAGAGTTGGTATAACTTCAAAACCGAACAATGGATAATAGTACTCAAAAGTGGCACTATGAGCACCTTCTAATGTATAAAGTATAATCGTAGCAAATCAACCAAATTTGAGCGAATTCTTCAAGCTGATGCTATCTTCACACTCTGAATATAACTAGAAAACAAAACTGGGGAAAGAAAAGGTAAACTTACCTGGTCCCTGAGAAGCACCAATATGCATATCTGGCTTAAACAGTGGTCTAGACTGCGTAATTCCCGACGCATCCCTCACGAAATGGCTTCCGGTCACATTAACAGAACTACCCGATGCCTTCATTTCGCTACTAGGCCACTGATGATGCGCCGCCATAGAAACATTATTAGCTGCAGAAAAACATTACAATAAAAGAAGATTCATCATCGATTCCTCCTAAAGCTATATTTAGTCGCAGATTTTAAATCGAAACACCGAAAAGAATACAAACGTAGAGCCATACTCGGAATCGAATGACCCGGAGATGTATAGCTAGTTGATACAATTGGATGCTTCTTCAATTCTTCCATCTAAACAACAAACAATTATGTCATCAATCAAACTCAATACAAACAAATTGATACTTTTATTAAATCTGATAAATTCAAAAAGGTGAGATTTTTTAGACGAACCTTTCTTTTACCAAGAGAGAGTTTTTCAGAAATGGTTAATTTAGGAGCTCGAAACCCTAATCTCTGATCTTTAACCTTACCATTCAAACCCAGATCTTCAATCACAGCTCCAATCGCATCTCTACTTATAATATCTTTTGGACTAAACTCTTGACACATATCAACTAATTTCGATTTCGCTTCAACCATAAGCTCTAATTCCAATTCCGTTGGACTTTTACCTCCTCGAATCCTCCGTAATGCTGATAACACAAGCACAATCTCCGCTACTCTGTTCACTTCCTCATCAAATCGTGGCTTCTTCAACGGTGGATCCACCACTGATTCTTCAACCACCGGTACATCACTAGCCGCAACATCATCCATCTTCAACACTG